ATATAATTTATGTATATTTTATATTTTTATATATAAAATATTCACTATATATAGATCTATCTATCTAATGAATTTTTTTTCTCAACATGTGATTTGTGATTTATTTTCTTGATGGGTCTTGATGAGCAAATGTTTTACAGTTTGAGGTAGTACAGTTTATCAGTGTTTTTCTTTTATGGTTTATGCTTTGTATGTTCTTGAAAAATGTTTGCCCATTGCAAGGTTGCAAACATTTTCTTCCACTATTTTTTCCTTTGTAACTGTATTATTTTATATTTGCATTTAACTCTAGAACCCATCTCATATGGGTTTTTTTGGATGTGGTGTGAGGTAGGGGTCAAGGTTCTTTCTCACTCGTTTTTTGTTTCTGTTTTTGTTATGGATATCCAGTTATTCCAACCCAGTCATTGAAGATATTTTTCTTTTGCCATTGAATTGCTTTGGTGGCTTTGTCAAGAGTCACTTGACTGTATGTGTGTATATATATATATGGTTGTATTTCTGTACTCTCTATTTTGTTTCTAGTCCTGTTTTGTTTTCTGTTAGTAGTGATTTTGAAATAGGAATAGATTGGGATTCTTAGATATATAGAAGTTAATGAATTAGTATAGTCCCACAATAAGCATTTTTTTTTTAACCACTTGAAGACTTTTTCTTGTGTTCAATGAACACAAGATCACTTATTTGATCCTTATGTGAGTACTTGAGGGGAAGTGGTTACAAAGAGCCAGAGTGCTAGTGTGTTTTGGCTTTTACTCACTGTTTTAAGCAACATCTTCCAAGAGTAAGCTGAAATCCAGCAAGAATTAGCTGGTTTGGGAGGAAAAACAGAGGAATAGAGAGAGTCTAGAAATGCAGGGGCTGATGGGGTTGGAAAAACCAGTCACTCCTGAACTGAAATAAGCTGCTGCCTTTCGATTCAAACCTATTATTTCAAATGGTTGCAGTGTGGTTGCCATGAGTTGAGAGAGGTAAAAGCTAGTTCACATTTGACCTTTTGCAATTAGTTAAATGTTTTTGCTGAATTCTTACCCACTTGTATTCCACCCAGTGTCTCTTCCTCTGGTGCTTTGGCTCAGGTAAACCAGAAGTCATGTCCTGGCTTTCCTTGGAGGGCCCATCTTTCCTTAGAATTCAGGTTACTTGTCCTATGATTGCAACTCTCTAATAGTTCAAGAAAAGCTCTGATTTGTACTCTATCCGGCTTTATTGTTGTGAATGTTGAACAGATATTTTTCCAGTTTTTTACATCTCATGTGGAAATAGAACTCCCAAGAGAGTGATTTAGAAAGATATTATTCATCTCGTAAGATAACTTCCTGTAGTATTCCTTTGAATTGCAATATCCATTACCATTCCCTCCAATCTGTTTCTTTATGGGATCTTACTCACCTGCCTCTAAACTGCTAGACTACATCTCCTGGAATGTGCAATTTGGCATGTATTTCTATTCTAAGTAACATGTACAGATCCTGGCAAAATCTAAAAGACCCTGTTTGTTGATTAATTGATGAATGGAATGCATTTACCAATCTTCTCACCTGACAAATGCTTATCTATCTTTCAAGATCAAAAGCAAATGTCACTTCTTCTGAGAAAACTCTATGAGTTCCTTTAGGAAGAGTTAGTTATTTTTTCTCTATGCCTTCATAATACTTTGTACATTCCTCCACTAGATGATTTTTATATCTTTTAGTTTAGATTGTGAATAAGATTGGAGCATGACCAATTCTTCTTATTTTGTATCTTTAGGTGCCTAGAACAATGTGTGGTACATATAATTATGACTCAGTTTGTCAAATGGATGCATAAAAATTGATTTTCTAAATGAGCTGCTGAATGTCTTTGTTGAATGATTATACACATTGGGTTTTGCATTTATGTAACTTTTATGTACATGAAGAAATGTACTTGTAAAGGTATGTGTATATGTGTGTGAATGTGTTTCATCTCCTAATGATGCAGGTAATTGCAGAATTTGCTTGGGACAAAGATATGGCACCTCTGCCACCATTTTCTCCTTGTATGCCATGCCGTGAGATAAACCACCTCAGTTCTTTTTCCTATTGATCCCGGGCATGAATTCAGAATCTGATCTTTCAATAATAATTCCACCAATGAACCAGATAGTTCTCCTTCCCTAATCTAAGAGGCTCCTAACACAATAAGCCGGGGGGTCACCTTTGATTGATGCCCTTGCTGAATGGTACCTACAGGGAAGATTCTAATAAGCTGCAGACACTTTGCAATTCCTGTCTTTCAGAACTTAATCGCATTTGCATTTTGGCTATGATCAGATGGTGGAAACACAAACTCCAAACTGTCAATCAACTTAGGCTTCTTTTCCAACTTTTCATAAATAAATTTCTTTAAAAATCTTTGAACATTCTTTTAAACACCAAAATTTTGCAACTAGTTTTTAAACAATTACAATATATTCTACCTATATGTTACATTATAGTTGGTAACCTGGAATTGTTCATTACTGAAAATCTAACTTAGGAGGTATGCATCTAAATGTGTGTGTGTGCATATGTGTGTGAACTGAGGTATTCATGAGATTTGAGGGAGAAAAGAGGGAAAATATTTACTGAAAATATATTTTTTTATATTGTCCAGTTTTTACCTTTAAATATCAGTAGAAAAAATGGAAGCATATAGATTTCTGGCATGTAATTTATCTTCAAAACAGAAATTAAACCTAACCAGTTATAAATTTGAGTTTCTTTCTGAATTAACCATGTTGGCATTACCCCAGCTACCTCCTTATGTTCACATGGTTGCTTCCAGACTCTATGTAGAATTTTATGCCTCTGTAGTATCAAATTTGTTAAATGGCATATTTTTATATCAGTAATTTTTATAGCATATTGTTATTCCAGACTTTTACATGCCTCTAATTTATTCTTAACTTCAATATAGCAGTATTGATTTTTTTTTCTTCCAAGTTTGATGGTATGAGCACTTCAGTTGTGATTTAAAGTCATTTCAACACCATCAATAATTTGCACTTCATTTTCTATTCTTTTGCAAACTTAAATATTTGGGCAGGTACAACTGGAAGTAATAATACTCCTCACTAATTTTTGCATCACTTTTAAAAACATTTAGATTATTTCTTAATGTGATTGAGATTTTGTGTCTCTAATGACTTTGAATTATCCATGACACTTAAATGCAGAATAGTAAGAACAGTTTTGGTTGCAAATCAGATAGAACCTGATACAGCTTCCTTAAGTTATATTTTCTCTCTTTGTCTGCTAGTAACAAAGAATAAATTGATCATAATCTTTCTCTTTTGTAGAACTACTATCAATGCCTCTTACAAAATGAGGTAATTGGATTGCAGAGTTGGCCTTCAAGAAGATTTTGTGGCCTTTCTCAGCTGTCTAGGTGCTGTGTTTCTATGGCTGCAAGGATGATGGTTAAAGGTAACATGGATGAGGGAGGCTTATGAGGCATGTTTTGTTTGTTATATAAAACAAGGCTCACAAATGCAGCAATAAGGGCATTGATTTTTTTCCCTTGGCTACTTTGCAGTGGAGATAAATTGCCGCCAGGTGAATGGTGGTACCTTGGTTATTTGGCCCATAGTGTAAATAGCTTTAGTAGGAGACCTGTTTAGAGCATCAATTTTCTGTTTTAAATATATCGCTTTATTATTGGCACAGAATTATGATCACATTAATGGAGACAGAAATAAAGAAGAAAAACTAAAAATCATGTCTTTATTTTCCCTTGCTTCATGTCCATTTATAACTATAATTTATGTGTTGTTGTAATCATATTTTTGATACATAATTTTCTTTTCTAATTTTTAAATAACATAACATATCAAAAGTATGTTTCCATGCCACTACACTGTATTATTTATAATGATCATTTTAACAGAATATCATGTATTTTTACGTGTCAGCAGATGTTCTTTTTAAAAAACTGTGTATTAAATGTTGAATATATATACAAAAATTTATAAAAGTTACACGAAATCACCGTAAATCAACACCCATATGCCTATCATTCAATGTAAGTTAAAGAACATTGCTATTATCTTTGGAGGCCTCTGTGTTCTTTTTTCACACCTCATCCTCTTCATTACCCCTCCAGAGGTCATGTGATCACCCTCCTAAATCTTGTGTTTATTGTATATTAGTTCTCTTTATAATTTTACCATATTCGTTTATATTTCTAAACAGCATACAATTTAGTGGATATTTTAATCTATATTTAAATGGACTAAAAAATATGAACACATTTATCTGTAAATTGTTTTTTCACCCAATATTAAACTCCTATGTGTTTTCTATGTCATTGTGTTATATTGTATTCATTTACATGGTTGTCAAGTATTTCATTATATGAATGCACCACAACTTATTGTCCATGCTAAACATTTGGGCAAATTCCAGTTTTTTTTCCTACTGTAAATAGTAATGTAAAGAATATTTTAATAACACAATTTCTGTTACAAATGTCTAAGAGTTTCTTTATAATGTATGAGTAATTCTGTCGGGTCATTGGTGTGTATCTCTTCAAATATATAGGTAATGCCAAATTGTTTTCCAAAGTGGTTGTACCAAATTATACTTCTACTAGCAATGTGTAAGAATGCTGGTTGCATCATATCCTTGCCAGTGCTCACTTGATATTATCAGATATACTTTTTGCTAATCTGGTGGGTTTGAGAATCTTTCTTATTTGGTTTTAATATAAATTTTTCCAACTAGTAATGAGGCAGAACATCTTTTCATATGGGTTCTTTTCTGTGATGTGCTTGTTCAAATCCTTTGCTCATAGTTCTCTTGGATTTTCTTTTCTTATTGGTTTGTGGGAGATTTTTAAATATATTCTGGATATCAATTTTCTGAGTTACATGGGTTCAAATATCTTCTCCCATTCTGTTTTCCACTACCTTTATAGTGCCTAGTAGTAAATAGATAATTTTAATTTTGATATAGTCAACTTTATCAAAATTTTCTTTGAATAATTATGCCCTTTGAGTCTTGTTAAGAAAAATTTCTCTCCTCAAGGTGTTAAGGATGTTCTTCTACACTGTCTTCTTTAATGTTATAGTTCTCTCTTCCATTGTTATGTTTTTAACCCTTATAGAATTGATTTTGTGTACACTGTGATGTAAAAGTACATTTTCTTTCTTTATCTCTCTCTTTTTTTAAGACAGGGTCTCACTCTTTCATGATCTATAGCTCACTGCAGCCTTGAACTCCTGGGCTCAAGCCACCCTCCCACCTCAGCCTTCTAAGTAGCAGGGACTATAGGCATGTGGCACCATGCCCAGCTAATTTTTCTGGGTTTTTTTTTTTTTGAGAGATGGGATCTTGCTATGTTGCCCAGGTTGGTCTTGAACTCCTGGGCTCAGGGAATCCTCCTGCCTCAGCCTCCCAAAGTGCTGGGATTATAGGCATGAGCCACCATGCCTAGCCTCTCTGTCTCTTTTTTTTCTTTTCAATAAGTATATTCGTTCATTTTGCACTGCTATAACAAAATACCACAGATTGGCTATTTTATAATAAATAGAAAATTATTGGCTCACAGTTCTGGAGGATGGGAAGTCAAGGATCTGGCAAAGACTTTCTTGCTCTGTCATCCCATGGCCAAAAGGCAAAGAGAGCGTGAGGGTGAAAGAGAGAGAGAGAGAGAGAGAGAGAGAGAGAGAGAGAGGCAAAAGGGAGCCGAGCTTGCCCTTTTATAAGGAACCCACTCCCATGATAATGCCATGAATCCATTCATGAGGGCAGAGCAGTCAGGGCTTAATCACCTATTAAAGGTCCTATCTCTTAATACTGTTACAATGGCAATTAAATTGTAACATGAGTCTAGGAGGGGACAAATATTCAAACCCTAACAATAAGGATAACCAATTATCCAAGGACAATTTGTTAAATATTTATTCTTTCCCCACTGATTTGCAATGCTAGCTGTGTCATAAACCAAGTTGCCATATATGTGTGGGTTGATTTCTGGGTTCTTAACTTTAAAAAAAATGCTGAGTCGGCCGGGCACAGTGGCTCACGCCTGTAATTCCAGCACTTTGGGAGGCTGAAGTGGGCGGATTACCTGAGGTCAGGGGTTCAAGACCAGCCTGGCCAACATGGTGAAACCCCGTCTCTATTAAAAAGTACAAAAAATTAGCTGGGTGCAGTGGCACACACCTGTAATCCCAGCTACTCAGGAGGCTGAGGCAAGAGAATCGCTTGAACCCGGGAGGCAGAGGTTGCAGGTGAGCCGAGATTGTCCCGCTGCACTCCAGCCTGGGTGACAGAGTGAGACTTCATTTTGAAAAACAAACAAACAAACAACAACAACAACTGCTGAGTCGGCCGGGCATGGTGGCTCATGCCTATAATCCCAGCACTTCAGGAGGCTGAGACAGGTGAATCACTTGAGGCCAGGAGTTCAAGACCGATTGGCCAACATAGTGAAACCCTGTCTCTACTAAATATACAAAAATTAGCGGGACGTGGTGGCACACTCCTGTAGTCTCAGCTACTTGGGAGGCTGAAGCAGGAGAACCTAGGAGGTGGAGGTTGCAGTGAGCTGAGATCATGCCACTGCACTCCAGTCTGGGCTACAGACTGAGACTCTGTCTCAAAAACAAACACAAACTTATCAAATAATGTAAATTGTGGGTATAAACCCACATAAAGGCTGGCTGTCACTACCAGTTCTTTGAAGGTGGAGTCAGTTTGTTTCTGGTTAATTCTTACTGCAGGGGCATAGCCCTTTGAGATCTCAACTTTATGGGAGGAGTTGCCCATTGATTTATCACACTGGGACAATCTCCAGAAAATTTTGAAAACTTAAACTCAAATTGAGCTGATTTGGCAAGTATTCTAATGGAGACAGCCAGCTGCAGTGCTGTCTTTTCTAAAGTTTGGCTTCAGTATCTTTTATATTCTTGCCATAGCATTAATTTAAAATGTATAAACATTTTTACCTTTCGGTTTTAGTATTTTAGTTTTAGTTGTTTTTTATCTTAACAGAGATGGTAGTTGTTTTTTATCTTAACAGAGATGGTCACTTTTGGCATTTAGCCCGTCATAAAAATGGAAATAAAAGTTTTTGTAAACTATTTTTCAACCTGATTTTAAATGACTGCATAACATAATATAATAAAATACCACATAAATAAACTGACATTTATTTTTACAATTAATATTTTAACATTTTAAGAGAGTCCACTCGTCAAATTGATATAAAACAAGTTACTTGACCATGTTTTCATTGTGCATTTATGTTGTTTTCAGTGTTTCTCTATTATCAAAATACTATCATGAAATTTTAAAAAGGCTTTATACATCTAAGGGACTTGTATAACATGATGAGACATTTCTGTTTTATCTTGTAGGCTATGGTGACACATCTAATTGTTTTGAGCTGGGAAGTGACGTGGTCAGATTTACATTTTAGAAAAAGTGAGCCATGAATTGCAGGTGGTTAAGGTTAAAGACAGACTGATAACAAAACCATTTTAATAGTCAAGGTAAAATTTGATGGGGGTATGAACAAGGCCAGAGGCAGAGGAGATTAAGAAGAGGGCCTATACAAAACCAAAACCAAACAAAAAGCTCCCCAACACCACCCCTCTCAACTAGAATACATCTAATCAAGGAAGTTAAAAAATGGGCAAAAGACATAAATAGACACTTTTCAAAAGAAGACATACAAGTGACCAAGGAACATGAAAACATGCTCAACATCACTAATCATCAGAGAAATGCTAATCGAAACCACAGCGCAATACCATCTCACACCAGTTAGAGTGGCTATTATTAAAAAGTCGAAAAATAAGAACAGATGCTGGTGAGGTTGCACAGAAAAGGAAATGCTTATATACTGTTGGAGGGAATGTAAATTAGTTCAACTACCATGAAAATCAGTTTGGAGATTTCTCAAAGAACTTAACACAGAACTACCATTTGACCCAGCAATCCCATTACTGGGTATATATCCAAAACAAAATAAATTGTTCTACCAAAAAGGCACATGCATTCATATGTTCATCATAGCACTATTCATAATAGCAAAGACATGGAATCAATCTAAGTGCCCATCAATCATGGATTAGATAAAGAAAATATAGTACATATACACCATGGAATACTATGCAGCCATAAAAAGAATGAAATCATGTTCTTTGTAGCAACATGGATGTAGGCAGAGGCCATTATCCTAAACAAATTAACACAGAAACAGAAAACCAAGTCCCTTAGATGTATAAAGCCTTTTTAAAATCTCACTTGTAAGTTAGAGATAAACAATGGGTACCCATGGACATAAAGTTGGCAAAAGTAGACATGATAGACACTGGGGACTACTTAGAGCGGGCAATATGGGAGGTAGGGGCGAGTATTGAATAACTATTGGGTACTATGCTCAGTACCTGGGTAACAGGATTAAACATAT